TTGTTCGACTCATTTTTCGGGTTTCATTCTACTGTCCAGTTTCTCTCATAGTCCGAGCCTAATACCTTATTCCTATGTTTCAACACACCTCTTTGACAGCTTCCAATAGTCCAATAGTCCACAGTTACTACTATTAGTCATCTTAGTCAGCGGGCATCCTCTCCCTCTTTTTCTTCAGTCATTCTCGGTCGCTTTACACCCTGTCATCTTCAGCCTCCCTGTGGGCGGCTCCCTGCAACCTTCACTATTTCTCCCTTCATACCAACCCAATTTTCTTCACGCCTCGATACTTACCAGGGCAATCATTAGCGACTTTTGTTATTTTTTAATCTGTACTAATGACACTTTCAAGTTCTTCCGGAAATGTGTGTATCTGATTTTACCCTTCGAATGACTTTCATATTTTCCTCCACATATGCGGCCTGATCTCCCTTCCTCCGTCCTCACCACCCAGCACTCACGGCACTTGTCATTCGCTTCACTGTTATTCTCTCAACTCATCAGAAAATAATAACAAAACCCTAAAGACTTTTTTTTTAACACAGCAGGACATTCATCACCCTCCTCATCACGACGTGTAGTATAGGATAATGCTTCACATGCTCCTAAACATTCTAAAAAAGAGATTCGTCATTCGTCTTCACCACGTCTTAGGTTCTATCACTATAAAGTCATTCGTCCCCCAGAACACAAGCCAAGGACAGTCTTCACTTTCAATAGGTGATGCAACTTTACAATGCTTCAAGTTAAGTTTATAATGTACGGATATACAGTAATAGGGAAATGTCTTAGTTCAGTATAATCGTAAATTTCATAACACTAGTTTGCTCCCGTACCAGAGGCTATAACATTGTTCACCATCGCGGCAAGGGTCGGGTTGTAATTCTTCGGGGGGTTTTTGACGAGGGAGGAGGAAGAGGTAGGGAGGAGGAGGAGGTGGTAGGGAGGAAGAGGAGGAGGAGGAGGAGGAGACGACCAAGAGGAGGAGGACGACTACAAAGAGGAGGAGGACGAGGAAGAGGAAGGAGGAGGAAGAGGAAGGAGGAGGAAGAGAAGTGAGAGCGTGGGGCTGCATCACGTATTTACATACAGAACGGCTACGTCAAACATAAAAGGAAAGGAATGAAAGAGCAAAATAAATCGATGCTTGTAGGGGGTTGATTGTCGAAGGTGATGGAGAGGCTATGTGTTCCACCGAATATAATTAAAAAAAAAATAACTTGAATCAGTAATCAAGCCTGTGAACAACTCCAAAAGATTTTCTCCTTATTTTATTGATCAGTAAAACCCGGAAACATTGAGTCCAACACTTATTGTATATAAAGAGAAGAAAACGGGAAATAATCTTCATAAACACGTAAATAATGAAGGATATAATATTAACACTATTACACAACATTAAGATATCACATACTTACACATATTGGAATAACAATATGTACTCCACAATGCCCTCTCCACCCACTATACCCAGAAATATTATCGTATTGACTCTATTCCACGATCCTTAACTATGGAACCTTAGGATAATTACTTTTTTTTAAATGTCTATTGTCTAAGAAAGTTATCGCTACTAATAATACGACAGTGACTTAGAATATTAAGTTTTCTAAGACTTGAGTTGATTTCTATACAAACTTCAGTAGTAGAGATAATGAACCAATTAGTGTGAAGGTGTAACAAGCGACTCCCTACTCCAACACCTGTGCGCTGGGTCAATATACTAACTATTGACCCAGTCACACACCTGACCTTTTATCTCAACCTAACCTAACCTAACCTAACCTAATCCCATATTAGTTTGGTCATAAAGAATGGATTTATTATTAATTGAAATTATAGAGGAGAAATAACACTAAAATTAATTGTCTATAAGGTGTCCCAGATAAATGTTCCTGTCTCCCGCCCTCCCTGCCTGCTCCCTGAGACACAATGAGTTGGAGAGAGAGGGAGGGAGGGAGGGGCGGTACAAGGATGCTGGACGAGTGCTGCTGCCGACGAACATATAATACTCACACAATTAACCTCTGTTGATTAAGAAAAAGACGTAAAACAGAGACATACAGTACCACCTATACTGAACTCATACAGGCGTTTACACCACTCATAACATTCCTTCAGTGATTCGTTTAGTCTGATTTTTCCTATTGTATATTAAAGTTTCTTAAAGGGAAGATGATGGATCTGGTGAGAACATGTTTGGTGGCATTTAATTAGACGTTAAAGAGGCTGGAAAATACACATTTTTTTTTTACATTATTTTAAGATTATGAATACCACCACCACCACCACCACACACCCCTCAGGAGACAGCTTGAACGAACAAAAGCCTCCCCAAGTGTTGCTGTCAGATGATATATGAAGATTTTCTACCTTGTGAATAAACAGCATTACTCGCGGCTATTAATTTTTTTCCTGTAAAGTTTATTTATAAAGCTCGTGGTGGGTGGCACAGTGCTTAAATAAGGATAACTGTGCCAGCACGTAAGTACCTCCTCGCGTCTCACAGCCACAAAGATTTTCTGAGGACTGTGTAGCTTACAAACACAACTCTAATTTTTTATTGAAACAAATTGAGACGCGTTATAACATGAAATGAGTTTCACAAATATGGTCAAACAAATTATATATCAATGCAAAAACCTAAGGACAAATACACGCCCTAGCAAAAATTAAAATATTCTACGATGTTTAGACTTTAAAATGTGTTGCATTTTTACCCCAATCATGTGCTTATAGATGCAATTATTTTGTAGGTTTGTCTATTTGCATATCCTCTTGCACAGGAATATATGAAATATTCAGGAAAGTTAAAGTCCGTTTATGTATGCACCAGTTGAGGCTCCCGGCTTCACCCATCATCAAAACAGTGGACCGACCCGTGGGTGAGGGGTCGTGCTCGGCCCTTATGAAGGATCTGTAAGACGCTTGGGGTAGTGCACGACCATTCCCTAGGACACACGCACCTCCCTACCAAATTTAGGCTCACTATCTTCAAAATTTGGAAACGCATGAGGAACACACACACACACACACACACACACAAAATGTCTGACCACAGGAAATGATAATTGTCTAGTACAGTGCAGAGGCTGACGTGTATACAGACTGAGGGGGCTAACAGAGGAGGGAAGGGAGAAGGGGGAGGTAACAGTAGGAGGGGGAAGGAGGGGGTAAGAGTAAAGGGAGGGGGAAGAAGGGAAGGTTAGACACTATCCCACACTAATTAAACCCACATTGCACCTGTTGAGGAGAAGGTAGTAAGACAAGGAAGAAAAAGTAGAGAGACAAAAACGGAACAGAAGAAAGACTAACAAACAAGAAGAAGAAGGACGAGGCAACAGGAAGAAGCAACAGGAATAAAACAAATCAGAAGAAAATAAAGAAGGAACTCTGAATAATTATAGTAATGCCACACACACACACACACACACACACACACACACACACACACACACACACACACACACACACACACACACACACACACACTTGATATTTTCTGGTTTATTCAGAATAACACCTGATTCAACCACAAGTGTTTTTAAGTCACCAGTAAGGATAACATTATACGCTAACTCCTTAATCCTTCACCCCAGCTCCCTTACCTCCCTCACCCCAGCCCCTTAACTCCCTCAACCTCACCCCAGCCCCCTTAACTCCTCACCCTTCACCCCAGCCCCTTAACTCCCTCATCCCTCACCCCAGCCTTCCATAACTCCTTCATCCCTCACCTCAGTCTCTAACTCTCCCTCACCCCAGCCCCCTTAACTCCCTCATCCCTCACCTCAGTCTCCCTAACTCCCTCATCCACCTTAGTTTCTGCCCCCTCATTCCTTTTACTCACCCCTCCTGCCACATGCTTTAGTACAGTGTTACATGCATCCTCACCTGTTACATGCACCCCTGTTACACCTGTTACATGCACCCTCACCTGTTACATGCACCCTCACCTGTTACATGCACACCTGTTACTCACCTGTTACATGCCCTCACCTGTTACATGCCCTCACCTGTTACATGCACCCTCACCTGGTACATACACCCTCACCTGTTACATGCATCCTCACCTGTTACATGCACCCTCACCTGGTACATACACCCTCACCTGTTACATGCATGCATCCTCACCTGTTACATGCATCCCTCACCTGTTACATGCACCCACCTGTTACATGTTACACCCTCACCTGTTACATGCACCCCTCACCTGTTACATGCACCCCTCACCTGGTACGTGCACCCCTCACCTGTTACACGCACCCCCTCACCTGGTACACCCACTCTCTCCCCACCACTCATCCACATACAGTACCTCTCGACTCCCTCCCCCACATAATCAGGTGAGCAGCCGCTTAATTCTCACCCCTCCACCCCCAGCTCTCGTCTGTACCTGTTCACCTGTGGTCGTTACCAAGATACTCGTAGAAGACCTTGGTCGTTTCTAAGCAACCACTACTTAATACGTTACCACATTCAGCGATCATTTGTGAAAAGTTACTGTATGATGTATGTATGTGTGGTTGCTTGTGTACTGGTCAGATCTTCAAGTGGCACGGAAGCGTTTGGTTCTCGAAAAACAATTTATAATAAGAAGAAAAGTTTGCAATGCTATTCGTGTTACACAAGTCGGTGTCGTTAGTCAACGCAGGTGATAACATTCACAGGTGTTTCCACGCCAGGCCAACGGCGCAACACCTGTGAGAGGGAGGGTGGGTGGGGTGGCATAGGGGTGGAGTAGGGTGTGGTGGCATAGGGGTGGAGTAGGGTAGATGGTGGGTGGGGTAGGGTAGGGGTGAGGTAGGAGGGATGGGAACGTGGATGTAGGGAAAACTTCCACGTGTTGTTACAGGTGGCCACCATTTCACTGTCCCAAATATCTTCGCCTCTTTTTGTTTTAATTCAACTACTGCAACTAACAACAGGTTCCAAAAGGTCTTGTAAACTCTTATATAAATGACCGGACTACTACAAGAAGTGAATCACCGTAGAGCTGCGTGAGAAGGTTGTAGACCGAGTAATGACGTGGAGGTCGGACGCTCCGCCGCTCTGGTGAGTGGTGACGCCCACGGCCGCGTTGTTTACGTTTGGGCGACCCTAGCGACACAGGCGGCGGTGTGGGGAAGTGACGGAGAACTGTAGTGTCGCCTTGGTAGTGCCCGTCTATCCACTGTCTAGTTCCTGTCTCCCACTTACTACCACTAGATTGAAGCTGTTCCTCTCTCTCATTCCCCAGGACACTGTTGATAATTCGTCAGTGCACCAGAGCTGTGCGGGGTGAGGGTATCAGTGCACGGTAGTGAGAGATAAGGTAACAGGGGGAGGTCCCGGCCCTTATACCGGTGTAGTGCCACGTGTGTCACCGAGGGGTGAGGAAGCTTCGAAGACAACCTCTGAGTGTTGTGTGCTGAGCGAGGAAAGATGTCAGGGGAGAAGAAACAGAAGGAGGAAGGAGAGAAGACGACGAAGGAGAGGAAAGAGAGTGGGAAGAAAGGAGAACATAAGAAAACTGGAGGTAGGGATATATAGTAGTAGTGGTGATGCCTGTTCTCTGTGTGTAGAAATATCATAAAAGTTTACTATACCTGTTTAGTGTATTTAATTTTAATTTAGGAGAGAAGAGAAATTTTGAGGCTCTATTTAACTAACATTATTGTATGTCAAGGAGCACCACGCTCCTTGAATACAGCGCTCGCCTCCTGTAACAGGGGTCGGCGGTTCGATTCCCGGGCACTCCCAGTGTACCCAGCTGTAAAGGGGTACCTAAATGTACAACTTGGGGGAGTGAAGGTCGTCGAGTGCATTACCGGCCATGCTGCCTCCTTGTGTACTGAAGGTTTTGCATAGTATACAGTGTGCTGTATCCACACTGTGCCTAACGGGCCGTCATGCCAATAGGACCTACTTTTCAGTTTTTACCAAACGCTCGTAAACAATGTAGCGAATTGTTTTAATCAATCAAGGTAGCTATAGATCGTATTAGGACTAAGGGAGGGATCCCTATCATATGCCGCGTCCTGCCTAGAAGGAGAGTTGGCAGTGAATGGTTGTCAAAGGCAGTTGGTGTCAACGACCGTCTTGACAGATATTGCAAGTCAATATCAGTCCCATTCATTGACAACTGGGACAACTTCTACGGCAGAAGGGACCTTTATGCTAGGGATGGGGTGCACCTGTCTAGGGATGGAGGAGCAACCCTGGCTGGGGCTCTAGAGGGGGCAGTTCAAAAGATATCGAAGTCTTTAAACTGCTAGGAGAACATATGAGCACGGGGGTGGAGGAGAATGCAGTGGGAGCGGGTAAACAAAGTGAAAGATTACAGGGAAATAGTGTTAGGAATGATGACAAAACTAAATTAGACAGGGAGTTTAAAACTAAATGAGGTAAGGGGAGGGCTCAGAACACGACTAACTTAAATGTACACTACGCGAACAGTAGAAGTATGAGAAACAAAATGGATGATATTAGGGCCTTGGTATGTACCGAAAAAATCGATATAATAGCATTCACTGAAACATGGATCTACCTAGACTCACGTGAGTTACCGGTCGAATACCAAATTGCGGGTTACAAACTGTTCCATACCGATAGGCAGACCAGGAAAGGAGGCGGAGTAGCAATCTATGTTAGGGATAATCTGAAGTGTGAAATAAATAAGGAAATAAAAACTGAGCGGAATACAAAAACAATTTGGATAGAATTAATCGACGGTAGGGAAAAATTAGTCACAGGAGTAATATATAGACCTCCCAATCTTGATAGAGTCAATGAGCGACTTATCTGGGATGAAATGCGCAGGGCTTCCATACACAACAAAGTCTGTTTAGTAGACGACTTTAACCTTGGCCAAATAGATTGGACTGACCTTACAGGTAACTCAGAATCAGAGGATTTTCTCGAGACGATCCAGGACTGTTTTCTAAGTCAACATATAACCGAACCCACACGGGGTAATTATATACTCGATTTAGTTCTGACAAACAGAGAAAACCTCATTTGCAATGTCGAGGTAGTGAACGAACTTGCAAACAGCGATCACAAGGAAATTAAATTCCAGTTAGATTTTCAGGGCAGACGTAAGGAAAATTCCACTGAAGTACCAGATTTCAGAAGGACAAACTTTGACAGTTTAAAGAGGCAGCTGAGAGAGGGGGTATCCGCTTGGCCGTGAACCTGACAGATGACACCGACCTGATAACGAGATCTGAGATTGCCGAGTTCCACGACAATTTAAATAATGAGTTACTTAATGCACAAAGGCAGAACATACCATACAAAAAACTCAGATCAAACAACAATGACCCTAAGTGGATAAATAATTATTTAAAGAACATCATTGGCCAAAGGAAGGCTACAGGTAGAAGGATAAATCGTGGCGAAATTTACCTCCGGGATTATTATAGGGTATTGGCGAGTAGGGCTAAAACCGAGATAAGGAAAGCCAAGAGGAATAATGAGGTAAGGATAGCAAGGGAGGCGAAGACAAACCCCAAAAGATTCTACCAAATGTATCAAACTAAAACACGAGAAAAGATTGAACCAATACGGTCAGATACCGGCGAGCTCACTGATAACAACAGAGAAATGAGCAATAATTTGAATAAATATTTTTCAACAGTTTTCACCACCGAAAATTTAAACATGATACCTGGGGCACCGACTCTATTCAGAGATAGTGAAGAAAACAAATTAAGCGATATAGTAGTGACTAGTAACGATGTTAGTAAGCAAATAGACAAACTAAAGCCTAATAAGTCACCTGGTCCCGATGAGATATTTGCCAGAGTATTAAAGGAATGTAAGGAAGAGCTTAGTATGCCCTTAGCAAAGTTGTTTAACATGTCCTTAAAAACAGGTGCAGTACCAGAATCCTGGAGGATAGCGAATGTAATACCGATTTTCAAGAAGGGGGACAGATCACTATCCTCTAACTCCCGCCCAATCAGTCTAACATCAATAGTAGGCAAATTACTGGAAGCAATCATTTCAAACTCTATTCGAAATCACCTGGAGAAGCACCAATTGATCAATGATTCCCAGCATGGCTTCACAAGTGGACGTTCTTGCCTAACTAATCTATAAATATTCTTTTCATCAGTTTTCGAATCGGTGGACAAGGGGCACAATTATGATGTGGTATATCTCGACTTTAGCAAAGCCTTCGACAGAGTCCCCCACGAAAGACTAATTAGAAAGGTAGAAGCACATGGCATCAAAGGTAATATCCTTAAATGGATTAGGGCGTGGTTACAGGACAGGAAACAGCGAGTGAGCATTAATGGCACTAAGTCCCATTGGAGCAACGTCACAAGTGGAGTTCCCCAAGGCTCAGTACTTGGACCATTATTATTTATTATATACATAAACGACATAGATAGCGGCATAGACAGCAACATAAGCAAATTTGCTGATGACACTAAAATAGGACGTGTTATTAAATCTGACGAGGACTCCGCAAAACTACAGGAAGATCTAAACAAATTTTTCGAATGGTCTGAAAAATGGCAGATGAAATTCAACGTAGACAAATGTAAAGTACTCAGTATAGATGTAAACAGGGAAACCAGATACCAGATGAACAACGATGCCATAGAGAAATCCGACTGCGAGAGAGATTTAGGAGTAATGATAAGTAGGAACCTTAAGCCAAGTAAATAATGTGTTTTTGCTCCTAACAAGGCTAATAAAGTACTTGGGTTCATACAAAGGAGTGTTAGTTACAAGACTAGCGAGGTCATCCTAAAACTGTATCTTGCTCTTGTGAGACCACACCTGGATTACGCAGTTCAGTTCTGGTCACCGTATTACAGAATGGATATAGAATCCTTGGAAAGAATTCAGAAAAGAATGACAAGACTAATCCAGGGCATTAGGAACCTTGAGTATAGAGACAGGTTAAAGCATCTTAATTTGCACTCCCTCGAGAGACGTAGAGCGAGGGGCGACCTGATAGAGGTGTATAAGTGGAAGGCAGGGCTAAACAAAGGGGACATTACAAAGGTACTCAAACTATCCAACCAGGAGAGAACTCGTAACAATGGTTTTAAATTAGACAAATTTAGATTTAGGCGCGAAATAGGTAAACACTGGTTTGGAAACAGAGTAGTGGATGAATAGAACAAGTTACCAAATATTATCATTAACCCGAATACACTGAATAGCTTCAAACATAGGTTGGATGCTTATATGAGCAATAGGGGTTGGGTGTAAACGGGACTGCCCAGTATTGGCCAATAGGCCCATTGCAGTTTCCTCCATTCTTATGTTCTTAATTTATTCCTAAAAAATTATAAAAAGAGAATTAAATGTTTTCATTCCATTGATCTCCAGAGTCTCCCACACTTGTCCTTCCTCCACCTCTGCCATTTCTCGAGAACATTATTTTTTTCTTTTATTCAATCCTTTTTTCCACTACGGCAAATATTAGTAGTCCTCTTAAAATCGTCTTGATGTTATTTTATAGAATTGTGGGTCTTTATTCCCGTGCTCTCTAAATAAAACGCCATTGTGAAAAAATAAGTAGTACCACTTAAAAATACTTCATTGTTACTGACGCGTCAAGTTAGGGTGTTAATGTTGGGCCGGGGAGCAACACCTCGGACACGTCCACCTTGTGTTGTGCTGCCAGAGACAACACTCCAACCCTCCCACTTTGTGTTACTGGGGAAATACCTTTAACTTGTACAAATAATCGAGGTTTGTGATCATACACTGCCAGAGTGGCCAGGTGTAAACATTGATGCCGTGTTGGTGAAGAAGGCCCCTGGTAGATGTGTTATGTCGTTCATTAAGACATAAGAACATAAGAATGGAGGAAACTGCAACGGGCCTATTGGCCCATACTGGGCAGCCCCATTTACACCCAACCCCTATTGCTCATATATCCATCCAACCTATGTTTGAAGCTATCTAGCGTATTCGAGTTAATGATGATATTTGGTAACTTGTTCCACTCATCCACTACTCTATTTCCAAACCAATGTTTACCTATTTCGCGCCTAAATCTAAATTTGTCTAATTTAAAACCATTGTTACGAGTTCGCTCCTGGTTGGATAGTTTGAGCACCTTTGTAATGTCCCCTTTGTTTAGCCCTGACTTCCATTTATACACCTCGATCATATCGTCCCTAACTCTACGTCTCTCGAGGGAGTGCAAATTAAGATGCTTTAACCTGTCTCTGTACTCAAGGTTCCTAATGCCCGGGATTAGTCTTGTCTTTCTCCTCTGAATTCTTTCCAAGGAATCTATATCCATTCTGAAATAAGGTGACAAGAATTGAACTGCGTAATCCAAGTGTGGTCTCACAAGCGCAAGATATAGTTTTAAAATGACCTCGCTAGTCTTGTAACTAACACTCCTTTGTATGAATCCAAGTACTTTATTAGCTTTGTCTCGAGCAAATACACATTGTTTACTTGGCTTAAGGTTCCTACTTATCATTACTCCTAAATCTCTCTCGCAGTCGGATTTCTCAATAACATCGTTGTTCATCTGGTATCTGGTTTCCCTGTTTA